ATATATACACCAGAGCGGGTGGCAAGACATGAGCTTCCATAAAACTCGAACGAAAAACTTCACGCTGAGACCTCATAAACGTGCACGGTGCTCCTTGCGGGGACCAGTGTGGGTCTGCCCAGCCCTGCGGGACTGGCTAACAGGAGGACGTACAGGGCCTGCGTTGATCTGACACAGGTCCGGCTCACGGGACATCCATAATAGGTGGGGAACGAAGCCGTCCGATGACTAATTTAGAATTGGTTTTGGCTTTGCCCCCGATGTCCTATGGACTGGGTCACGGCTCTTAGGAGGCGTGCTGATGGGGCAAGGCTGTGTCGCAGAGAAACCTTCAAGGAACAGATGCTCCTCGGCTTGGCTGAACCTAGAGGCTCTGCATCCTCAGCATCCAGCTCGGTCCGCCTGGCCTGCTGCAGCTCCATCCCAAGAGCTGCATAGTGGCAAAGACGCTCAGCCAAGCTGTGCACCAAAAACCAAGCCCGCTCGGGGCTGCATGCTGAGCAGTCTAGGAATGGAAGTGGGGCTCTAGACAGAACTCTGTCTTCCACTCCCAACTGGGAGCCTCCAAAATCAAATAATCCAACCTGACCACCCTGCTCTTGAACGTCCATGCCCCCCTCCCGCACTTCCATTGCTCCTTGCCTACTCCCAGACACCACGAACATCACCCATTGTCACAGAGGGGCACAGTGCCCATTCAGAACAACCACGGGACAATGGCCATCACAATCTAAGAAGCCCTTTATGCTTAAGAGGCCAGGAGGACTGAGTGGGCAACAAGAGAAAAATGACAATGAACTTCATCAACCACTTGCTCAGCACTTGATGTGAGCCAGCCTCCCTTCGACCTCGTAACGGTCCTCTAAAGTGGGGGCTACTGGGACCCCCATTGTGCTGACTCGGGTGGGGGAGATGGGAGAAATAGCCTCTTCACCAGATCAAGGTGCCAGTTTAACTTCTCTCGTCTCTTACAGTGAGCGGGTCTCTAAATTTCCGCTCAGGGCTTCATTCCACCCAACACAAACCAGTGCCACCTCCAAGAAAAACGGAATGCCTTTCAGGGTGCTTCTCACCCCAGCAACCGACAGATGCCCTTGAAGGTACAAAATGGCATATAAATCAGGCACGAACTAATCCCAGGAGTTTCTCCCGCCTCTGAACCGCTTTGCACGACTTTCCAATCCACAACACCTGGACCTTTGGCTCCCTCATTCATTCGGTTGTCAAAGAATTTCAGAGAACCTACTGTATGCCAGGCATTAGGGCAGTTAGCTGTCCCTGCCTACAACGAACCTGAAGTCCAGAGGGCAAAATAAACAAGATAAAAATTGCAATACAGCTTAAAAACAACATGCCTTTAGAATACAGATTCCAAGAGAATGGGGATTTTGTCTACTCTGCGCTGTAATGTTTCTTGAACTCCAGCAGTGCCTGGCACAGAGCATTTGATAAATATTTACTGAATGAAGAAATGGATGAACGTATGAGTGCATGCACGCCATAGTGCATGTAACCCAGTAGGGATGATAGCATTTGTCCAAAGATGCCTACAGCTGGTCCTGATTCAGCATTTCCTAGTGCAGAACACAGTACGAGGCACATGGAGGCCCAGCCAGGGAATGCTTCCCGAAGGACGGAGTGAAATGAAGACACTGAAAGTGGAAAATTCAAAGCAGAAGGAACCTGTGCAGAGAATGGAGAAGCACACCGAGGAGGAGATGAAGCTCTTCCCAGTTAAAGGCAATGGGTTTTATAAACTCTCTTCACAGCCACTGAATGCCCTCTCTACTCAGATGTGAGCACTTCGGGAGAAAATACTAGTAACTCCATAGTGGACACTGAAGCACAGATACTCTTAAATCGTTCAAGTGACTGGAGCTAGTCCCGAGCAGTTCTATACTCAGAACTCCAGAACCTACAACTTTCGGAAGGCAAGTCGGTAAAGAGCTATGGGGAGGAGCGACCCCCAGGCCTATTGCTTGTCTTCCCTCGAAGACAGGAAAGCCATCACTTTCCAGACACCCAAGGACAAGAATCCAGTGGCTTACCAAAGCAACTCCATAAAGCAATCTGAACATTCAATCCGACGGCTTCTACGGATTCAAGAAATTAAAAAGCAATGCTAACCTCCTGCCTCACTGTAGTCAGGGGAGTCAAAGTAAAGGCTGTCCCTTTAATTTACCCTTTTATTTACTGTGGACGCTACAGTGAACGGTTTTAATCTTTTCAATAAGCATGAATTGAGTATCAACTGTCTACAAGGCATTGGGCTACAGACGCCGTACAATGGCGGTCAATACATTCTATTGGAGGCAGACAAGAAAACAAAAGATGTAAGCTAGGAGCCTTTCAGAGCGAGGGGCATGGTGACAACCTTGAACAGGATGAGGGGTTAGACAGTGAATGGTGGAGGGTGACCTCTTGAAGGCCTCTGAGCTAAGACCTGAATGATGAGGAACAGGCATATGGGCAGCGCAAGGGGGAAAACGGCAAGAACAAAGCCCCCAGACGGAAATGAGCTTGGGGTGTTTGGGGCAAGGAAAGCCACTGTGGCTGGGGCACAGTGAATGAAGAGCAGGTGGGACAAAATGCATGTGGAAAGACAAGGAGTCATCAAGTCGGTAAGGTCCGATAGGCCTCCGGAAAGATCTGGGATGCTAAGTGCAAGGAGATGCCACTGGAAACTCTCAAGCAGCAAAGAAACATGAACGGATTTTTGCTTTAAAAAGTTCACTCTAAAGGTCACCAAAACGGATACGTATTAGTGAGACACAGTGGTGGACTGGCCCTCACTTTCCCTGGCGCGTAACACAAGAGATACTATCTGATAAAGACAGCATTCATCCACCAGCATCCACCAGAGTCCCGACAAACAAGTGGAAAGTACCACTCTCTTGGTGACCAGTTTCTTGGACTTCCAAGAATGTGCTTTCAAATAAGCTCACTTATTCTGAAACCCAGCGTCCCCTCTTCCTGGGTCATTCCCTCCGTGGAGGAGGGTTAAAAAAAAAAAAAAAAAAGGTTCTATGCCTAAGGCTCATAAATCCCACCACTTTGAAACACGTCCTGCAACGAGAAAGGAGTTGGTTGGTTTCCGGTGCGCCAGGGAGAAAGCCTGAACACCTTGCTCACATTTCCATTCGAGCACTGAACTGAAACTCCAAGACCAAGCGGGATCGGCAATCCCAGTTTGGGGGGCGGGGGCGGGCTCCTGATCGCTTTAGTTGGCCTGATGGGATGCTGGCTGCCGGCCCACGGAGTAATGCAGAAATCAAGATATTCAAGACAGGTCAGCTCGACGGTCATCTGCTAAACGACCAGGACGGGAAAACACTATTTCAGTGTCCAACATATCAAAAAAGCAGCCCACGTGAGGCTCTATCTGTGGCCATACCATGCCAGAAATCTGGGCTAATCTGACTCTGCTATTCATAAATTCTCCCTCATGTGAAAGCCCATGTGTTTGGGAAAGGGAAATGAATCCAAGTCAATTTTAGACATTGTTACTTGGAAACCATCTGGAGTCCCTGGAAGCAGAAGAAACCACCGCATCCCCTGCCCTCGGATGCCCACCAGAATTAGGGCAGTATGCTTACCTGGGAGTTTCTCAGGCCCTATTCCCCAGGGATGTCCCCACCCCCACCCTGCCAGATGCCAGCCAGGCTCCACTACCCACCCCAGAAAGGTATTTGGTTTCCGCGTAAACCTAGTGGAGAGCCCTCCATGTGTGGAGCCTGCACTTGAGCTGCACCCAAGGCTGGGTTCTCAGCTTTCCACTTTGCTTTAGAAAACTGAACACCTGAATTCCTTGGCCACACAGCAGCAAGGGAAATCCCTCTCCAGGAGCAGAAGTCCCATGAAAAATCCCCTCTACCCAACACCCCTGTGTTCACAGCATGTCTAGCTTTGGAAGAGACCCACCAGAATCCTTATGTAACGTTAATAGATGTTGGCACCCTGCAGAGCGGCTCCTGGAGACACTAACCCAGATGTAGCCCATTTTCGAGGCAATGACAGCAGGCTGGGTCCTGCAGCTTCCTAGGGCCCGGCTCTTCCTGACTGTAGGGCCTCTCTGTTCCCCTCCCCTACCTGGCTGTGATCCTCTGCTTATCTCATCTTCCAGAGGAGTTGGACCTCCCTTTTCTGCAGCCTCCCTCCCTCTACTGAAATCGGTCTTAGAACCAAGCGGACAGCAGCGCCATTCCACCAGCACCTTCCCTGCCCCCTCTCCCCCTCCCCCCTTCAGATCCCCTCTCCAACACCTATGGCCTTAAGAAACCCGGCCAATAAAGAGATCCAGAATCTCGTACAGTCATAGTCCCAGAAAACAAACACGGCAGGAGGCGCAGGCTCAGCTCTGCCAAGCCGACCAGGCCCAACACTTCCCCCCGGACCCCCCCGGGAAGCCTGAACTCGGCGCAGGGGAGGGAATCTTCGGAGAGCGACTGCGGGTCGGCTGCCTCCAGCACAATCAGAGCAAACACCTGTTTCCAGGAAGCCAGGCGGCCGGGGGCGGGGTGGGGGGGGGGGGGGGG